CGAGTGTCACCCGTCTCCAGAACACATCCGGCCTCATCACCGAGGACGCCTTCTTGTAGGGATAAATAAAAGGTCCGAGGCTCATCGGCGATATTCCGCCTGAGGCAATTATGAATATACCCCAGTCCTTCCACACGTGAATACTCACACTGTCAGCAGGTTACCATCATCAGGATCTATTGCGAAGTCCGGCCCCTCCCGCTCATCCTCTTCTATGTCTTCATAATCAACTATCCAATCGCGCCCAACCGAAGGGGCCTCGTCACCCGGATACCTACCATTCAATCAGTGACCTCTCCCAAGATTCATGACCTTCATATATAATAATAACAAATCCCTTTGAATGTAGATATCAGATTGCTACGTATATAATTGATATTAGAAATTTCATATATTCTATCATTCACGGCACCCTTCGGACCAAGCGAAGTTGTGTATAGCCGCGGATTGAGAAGGACCCTGCGAATTCAGCAGTGGTGAATCCCCAGGACTCTATCTTTTTGCCACGCTCTTCCTCTGCTCTATTAACGGTGAAGGAGAATATTATAGATAGTACGTTCTATATATCCATCATTGACCGATACAATATACATATGGAATTTATAATAAAAATGTATATAATAATAAGTATCATTATACTTACCATAAACATATGTGGCATCCCTTCGTGGCCGTCTTCACACAGTTCACCAACTCCGAACAACCTTCAGATCGGCCCATTCAACAATACCACTACCAACACCCTCCTCCAACTCGAGAACACCACAATTCCATCAGTAATATTAGAATACAAAAACCACATGGATCATCACAGGGCGCACAAACCGTCTTGAAGAAAGTCAAAGTCGATACGGCATTTCTCTATGTAAGCGATTTCGTGTTTAACGACAACTCGAATATCAAAACCATTCAGACAGCGTTTGAGACAGCTTCTGAATGATACCTATATTGTTCATCAAATGTCACGTGCATTCACAAGAGGTGGAGCCTTTTTTCGCAACATCCTGTATTTCCGGATGATACCCTACATAAGCACCTCTCTCTCGAGAGACGATAGTTCCCATGTCCCTTACTACAAGTCCATTCAAATTACTGCCATCCCTCACAACAAACCTTCGTCGTATCCCTACAACCCAACTGACGATGACATTACTGGCAAATAAGTCCATCAGGAAAGGCCCCATCCTTGAGATGAGTTGCAACAATGTGCCGCCTCGACATGTTGTGATACTTTGGCGCACACGTACCACTCACGACCACACCTATACAGTTAAGACTATACATTTCCTCCCACGAGAATTCAGATGTTTTTACTACACTGACAAGAATCTACTTGATGCACTTGATGATTGGTGATGCCGCTACACATTGGTCTTAGACAACAACACTATACAGAGATCTACATACAATCTCGTGCAACGTTTAAGCCATAGTTCAAACTGTTATGGTAAAGATTTCGTAAGAACTTATCCTTACTCTATTCACTGCCCTTACGTGAATCCACCAGGAGACAATACTGTCACAGTTCCCATGCAGATGTCTACAATCGACATTGGCATATCATCAAGAAGAGCTAAGTCCATTTATTTCATACCATTCCAACTCGAATTCCCGTGAACTAACAACTAGTAGGAGCATACATCACCAGAACTCTCAGGTATCACGTATCCCCTCGCCGATTCTAAAAGGCGCGCTTTCCCCTAAAACAGATTCGGTAGGAACAATGGTTCGAAGCCGAAAACATCAACACTAACTCTGTGGTAGATGTAAACTCTCACATTCGAAAACTATTCCTAGTACAGAAACTCACAAGATATCCGCCCGAATGGACCTTGTTAGTTGCCTCTTCCCAGCACTGAGGAACGCGATGCGGAGTGGAGAGTGGAGATTAGAACAAAACGAACTTGAGCCAAGATGGCTACGGCTCAACACGGACTCATGCGTGCACACTATCACTAACCCATTATTAATTGCTTATATACCACGCTACCGGAGTCCCAAAGATCATCAAAACCAAACCAAATATCTGTCATCACCACTGGTTGACCAACCGTTTTCTGATCCAATGGGCGGTCGCTAACTTGCAGATCCGACCGAGCTCAGGATCTGGACACCTGACCAGGACCCATCACTACTACTGTAGGCTAGTAGGTCGAGGCAGAGAGGAAGGCCATGGGAAGAAGGGGGTAGTGAACTTCGAGAAAGCCCATTGAGATGTCGTGAAGCTGCTGAAGCCGGCGGAAAGAGGAATTCGGAGAACGGCAGATAATTTTGTGGCGAGTGACGGAATTTCTAGTCCTCGAGGTCCCCGGTTCGATCCCGGGCACCTTCATTTTTCCAAATGGCATTTCCATTCGGAGCAAGTTGGGAGGAATTCCCATCATCACTATGCCCCCACGGCTCACCCCTCGGAGGGCCTCGTACGCCTCGAAAGGGGTCGACCTCATCAGCAGCGTGAACTGCTCGAGGGATCGGATCAATCGTTGTCTCCCCCCTTTCTGAGGGATAGACGGGCTAGGGCTTCTATCCCTCCTTAGGGATAGGAAGGATACGCGTTGTTAATGTGAATAGATCTATGATATAATCTATTACCAACTCGGGCCACCTCTACCCCATCCTCGAGCCAAGTCGCCCTAGTAAGGCCTACTACCCCTGCCCGCCGGTAAAAGGAAGGATCCTCCAGTTTTCGAGGTAGCCATTAAAGGCACTCGGAAGGCGCAAAGCCGATCAATGATTTAGTACGGCTCAGCAGCCCAAGGCCCATGGGCCTCATCGCGAGGGAAGTTATGGAACGCCTCGGTCAATTACGTAGATAAGAAAATGAGAAGCTGTTCAAGCGACGGAGCGTTGGTTAGTGAGTAGGTACATCTAGAAGGCGTCATGTAAACAATGAGTAAACGTAGGTGTGGTTTCACCGGTAATTCTTACCACTCCTTGGGGAATTTCAGTGATGCAGCAATCTCAGTCTGGGTAGTAGTGCGTATTTGCCGCATGTGACGGTGGAGAGAACTAAGCTTCCAGACCATACGAATTCATCGGTTTATGACTGAATTCAAGAGTCGGCGTGGATCTGATAATCGCAGGAGAGCAGCGCGAGTTGAAGCGCTACATATGAATATATATAATCAGAATATGAGGGGTAATGCGGTGAGAGTTGGGGAAATTGTGGTATAAGAGAGTGTCGTGGCACTGCTTGATGGCTCTGAGTTGAGATAGATCTAGTAGTAGTCGTGAAGCAACTACTGTCGTATATTCGTCGAGTTTCTATTGGCTGACTTCACACAAAGTGTTGTGTTCGTTCACCGTCACTGCGCCACGAAATTATCTCCTCGAGTTCCGTCCCCTCGTTTTTTCTGTACATTATGGACAATATCGTCACAGCAGCTCAAAACTCCGCGACCGACTTTGGCTTTTCCCGCATGGTCTACTCCTACGCCCGGCAGCTTCGTATGGAGAGGAAGAAGTACCCTGATCAGCATACAGACGTGGGGGGAATGAGACAGGTCGTATTGGACATAGTTCGATCGGTGAGGAGAGCCGCGAGGATTAGACGCTTCTTGAGGGGGATTGTGTATGAGAGAGGCGCTCGGGACAGTGCAACAGAAGGGAGGCAGCAGAAATTGAAGTTGTTGCGGTCTGGGGATGAGCGGGGTTCGGATTATGATAGTGATGATGGTGGCGGTAGGAAGAAGAAGAAGAAGGGCAGAGGTGGGTTAAGACGAGGTAAGGGGAAAAAGAACGCCGGCGGGTCCTCATCGCGGAATAGGGCTGGGGTGGGTAGTGATGGGAGTGGTCATAATGATGATGATGATCTTGCTGGGAGTAATCAGTTGCTTATAGGAGGAGGTCTCTCAGAGGGGGAGGAGTTGGGCGGGTCACAACCG